AAATAATCCGATTCATTATTCTGATCACTATCCTGATCATTAATTTCAAAAAAATTTTCAATAATTAATTTTTATATAATACTACGTAGCAACGGAGAGTTTCGAAGTTTCTTGGAGAAATCTCTTGCCTTAGAGATTTCTTTGCTTATTGATTTTATTCTTTCTTCTACGACAATATTGAGAACATGGGCGCTACAATGAAAATGTTGCATATTTGGATTACTAAACTCATTATTTATTTTTTCTTTTAGAGCACGCATAGTTTTGATTTACATAATTGACCGCACACCCCCCAATGAAACACGAACCAAACCGTGACAGAATGGCACGTATATTACGTTTTACGGTATTGGTACGTGCATTGGGTAGCACGTATGAGCATGGTTTATTTCGTTACTTTATGTGCAATTACCCGTGCCAAAACCCGTAAGTTTTGGTTTAGTAAAGTGCGGCAAAACCTGGTCCATTTACGGTCCAAAATGTCCGGGTAAACAGTCCAATTCGGACCAATTCAACGTGCCAACACGGATCACAGACGTACAAACCCGGACATCTGGCCGTTCCACGCTTGACCGTGTCTATCCGTAGAAACACGTGCCTACACGGACCACTTTTTCCATAGGGAGGTCGAATAATATCAAATTTTGTATATCGATTTAATTTCATAGGCTGAATTAAAACTGAATGTAACATTTGACCTGGTCGAATATCAATTATTTGACTAGTGAACATTATATAGATGAATTAAAAAATCTATATTTAATATATACAACTTTATAATGCTGTTACGTACCATTTAATCTTATTAAAATTTATAACGTTTTACTAAAATTCTTTTTTTAAAATCATTTTTTACTACTCACAAAACAATAATCAGAAAATAGCACACAAACTATTCAACTTTAAAAGATTTCTGTCTACACATTTGCGGCTTTACTTCTCTGTTAATTATAGTAAAAAAAGCATTTTTTATTTATTATTCTACGCAAATTACCCTTATGTGAGACGTTTACCATCATATTAAATCACATGAACTATATCTAGCGCGAGATAAAGAAATTTTAGTAATTGGTAATCTAATAGTGAAGTCATCATTTCACATCTCGCACAAAACAACATGGTATTAAAATATATGCTAGGTATATCTCACACGAGGCACATCTTTAAACCGCAGTAAATTTTATGATTATAACATGGAAAGTTGAAAATAACTTATGATCAACCAAGGCTGATAAGAAGGTTTACTTAATAAAATGTCTCCTAACATACACTTCTGCACTTATGAAATTTGAGATGGTATTAACAAAAAATAGGAGTGACAATAACAATAAGAACACCGACGTTAATTACGTAATTTCTATTTACTATGTGGACTTACCTCCTCCTCCCTTCTGATATATATCAATTAATTCTTATGTTCATAAGAGTAAAATAATTTTTTGGCTCCGTCTTCTAAAAATTACGTAATAAATGTCAACACCCTAACAAGTCTTCGAAATTATTATATTTAGAAAAAACCTTGTTTTATTTAAATTTATTTTTTATTAAAATAATAGTAAACCACGATAATAGATAGGCTTTTGCTTGTATAATAAAACCACACACACAAAAATTAGAATATATATATCTATTTATAAATGAACTGAAAAGAAGAAATCAATCCGGATATTTTGAGATAAACTTCATAATAATGCTTTCTTACAAAGAATTTAGTTGATTATAGGTAACGAATTAACATTAAAATTTTAAAAAGTAAAAATGTTTATAACATAATCAACCTTTTCCACTATTTTGCAGTTCGATTATTATCAGACGCGTTTTGATTTTGAGGATGTTGACTCTTTGAAGTCAGTGGTGTCATAGGGTTGTTTCTTGGGTCACCTTGAAGATTAGGATCAGCATTTTTATTAAGGCTATTTTGTCTGGAAGATGGTTGACTAGGTTGACTAGATTGACTAGTAGTGCTGCTTTGTCTGACTTGTGAACGAGATTGCTGACGTTTATCTTCGGTAGATGATTTGTTAAACAACTTATTTAAAAAACCGACTTTTTTTTCTTTATACACTGCTACTCTTGCCTGGAAAAGTATCTTACGATTGTTTTCATTATCTAAATCTATACCAATCAAAGGAAAATAACAAATATCGACAAACCATTGATCTATGTTTTCGTCCCACGGACCAACCATTTGAATAGGATCTACTTTATCACCTCTTTTAAACCATCTGAATGTTGCCTCTGGTTCTTGCACTCTTAATCGGAAAAAGAAAATTTTTACAATTTCTCTAATGATAGAAGGTAGCAATTTATCATTTTCTTGTTTCTTTTCTTCATCTTTAAAAGTACGAAACCTGGACATAAGAAGATCAATGTGTTTCGAAACATGAGTGATGAATGGATGTTCTTTTTGCTCGCCTTTAATATCAGCAAAACCACGATCACCTAGAACTGCGTAGATCTGTTGACGTAGTTTTATCGGTGCAACCTGAGTTACTTCGTCAACACCATCACGATGTTTATTAAATTCGCCTAATAGATCTGTCATTTTACTAGTTGTATGGATCAACTCTAATTCGCGATTTCCTTCCGGACCGAGTTGGGAGTTATTGCTTTTTAAATATCTTCCCATCATATCCGTGACATTTTGGATCAAAATTCTTTGAAGAAGCCATTTAATAAGTATTTTTTCTTCTGAATCTTCATTTGCAACATTTTCTAGTGAACAGCCATATTGTTGTAAAGCATCCTTCGCAGCTTCCAATTTAAGAGTCACACCTTTTTTGACCCTTGCATACGAATTAATATTATCTTGTAAATGTTCGATATCTCGTGTAAGCGCAGTGCTATTATTAGGATCGTCATCACCTAACTTGAAATTTTTTGCATCACCCAATTTTGACTGATAATGAGCAGCTTCAACTTTTAATTCTTCGTTCTTTTTTGTAAGTTCCTCAAATGATCTAACTAATGAATTATAACGGCTGATTAAATTATTACGTTCATTTGAAAGATTTGCTAGCGCAATTTCTTTGTTATAATTATCTTGATGAAGTTTGTGATTTTCACTTTCAATCTCTTTATTTTTCTTTTTTACATCATCAAGCTCTTTATCAATTTCACTCATCTTTTTGTAAGCTTCAGCAAGTTCAACTTCATCTTCCTTAATTCTTCCCTTTAATAAAACAATGTCGTCAACCTGTTCGGAGATTTGATTAGTTTTTTGTGTTTCAGAATTATTATTATCATTTTGATGTTCTGATTCCGACGTCTTTAAATCTTGTTGATTTGTAGTGCCCTCTTCGTCTTTAGGACTTTGCTCATTTTTCATTTCATCTTCATTGTCGATATTCATTTGAGATTCTATAGTATCATGAGGTGTCTCAGCAACTTCACTTGCATTACCACTTGCTAAGCTAAAACCATTATAATTTTGAGCACCCGATACATTATCATTTGCTAAGATAGAGCCATCATTCGGTTCATCCGATAAGTTAGAACTATTGTTTGGATCATTCGTCAAGCTAGAACCATTTTTCGCTTCGTTTGCATTATTTCCCAAGTTATTCTCGCTTGTTGGGCTAGAACCATTTTTTGTATTACTACTCAAGTCATTATTACCATTACTTGCAGTTCCAACTTCATTAGCTTTAATATAACCATCTTTCTCTATTTCCATAGGTTGCGCCATTATTTTAGTATTTTGGAATTTTGGAAAACAGTATTATGGAAGTATAAATATTTTACTTATAGTTAAAATATTTGCTTTAATCGAAAGGAAAGAATGCAGTTAAAAATAAAAAATTTAATCTTCAAAAAAACGAAAGTTCTCTAGTCGAAACGTGATAAAACTATTATGGAAAAGTCTACAAAAAACGATAGCGGAGTTCAACTCCTGAAATAACCGTTGTCTGTCGTACTGTACTCTGATTATGCATGTTACATTTGTTTATTCCTAATACTAATACAGTAATAAAACTAAGAATGTAATAGGGTGACATAATAGAATGAGACATCAAAAATATATACGTATAGTTATTCATTTTTGTAAACTAGAGATAGACAAATTCACATTTTTCAAGTTTCTAAGCCATTTTGAAATTTCTAAACCTTTTGACTATATTAAAAAGGGTTATTTGAAGTTATCTAAATTTATCTTAACGCATAATCAACAAATCAACTTGAGAAACTTTATCAACCCAGCCTTATGCATGATTAAAGATCCATTTTGATTAAGGGTGTTCTCAAGAACCTCACTCAATGGATCGGAGGTAAATTTTTAATTAGTCGGAAATGAATAAATTAACCAAGTTTTCCATTGATATAGGTCAATCAAGCAATAAACAATGAATTCTCGGTAAATCTCACCCAAAAAGTTAAATTTTTTTTTAATGCTAGAAGTTTTTAAACAAATAAGTGATACCTTTGATTGAGTGTAATAAATACTACCCATCTTATAACATTTAACCAAACTATAATGAGTACTGCTATTTCGTTTTCACTCACTTAAATTTGAAACTTCTCAGCAAAAAAGACAAACCGGTTTTTCATATTTGACGGAAATGAAGTTATAACAAAAAATTTAAATTGGTAAAATCATTAAAAGGAGGATGCAACTAAAGTTGAAGCTTCGACGGTTGATCGAAAAGAAATCGATCTAAAAAAAATAGCGAAGCTTTTAAAGCAAATAATCGATACCTTGATATGAACGTAATAAATGCAACCTATCTTCTAACCTTTAAAAACCGTAATGAGTACTACTATTCCGTTTTTCGTTCACCTAAATTTAAAATTTTTTTAGCAAAAACTGAAAGATTTTGGGTAGATGTTTTTCTATATTTATCTGATAATTAATAGTTATAACTCTTTTCGAAAATATTTTCGTACCTATGCTACTTTCGGTGTGAAATAGCAATTGCAGAATTACTATAAAAAAAGTTTTTTTCAAAAAAACTTACTTCTTGTTTACGCAAAGCAATTTTTGCTAACGACTTCATAAGTTGATTCTGTTACTGTTGCAACAAAAATTTAAATGGTAAAATCATTAAAAGGTGAAGCCAGTGAAACCGAAGTTGAAGCTTCGGCAGCTGGTTGAGTAAAAAAAAAATTATTAGAGGCGTAGCGAAAATTATGAAAAATGGAAAGAGTACATACGCTCAAGCATTTAATTCTATAAATGTCGTCATTGATAGTGATGCTTTGATCATTATTGTTATTTAATTAATTGATTGAGATGCTTGAGAACACCTATGCCACCTAAAAATCCTAATAAAAAAAAAATTTTTTTTCAACCAACTGCTAAAACTTCGACTTTAGTTGCGTCGGCTCCTCCTTTAATGATTTTACCAATTTAAATTTTCTGTTATAACTTCATTATCCGTCAAATATGAAAAAATATCTACCCAGAACTATAGTTGTTAGACGAATCTCGAGGTTTCGCGCTGACAGAACGCGAAACCTAGTTTCGTCTTTCGTCAATAAATGACGAAATGACGAAACTGACGAAAGGTGACGAAACTGATGAAACTGTAAAGGGTGACAAAACTAATAAAAGACAAATATACAAATAAATGCTATTGAGGATTATGTGTATAAAAATTACAAAAAATTTTATTATATAATAGTCGCTTGAATTGTTTAAAAGGAGTTAGAAATGAGTATTCTATATTACATATATCAGTTCTAGTGAAAATCGATTGGTGCTTACTTTGTGATCTTACAAATTTATTTTGTTCCAGTGAGCATTTGTGTTATTTCATAGTACTACGGCTTTTAATGGCTTTTTGACAAGGTTATTTCAACCGGTCTATAACAATCCTAGCGTTGTCCGAAAAAATGAACTAGTTTATTTTTGCTGGCATACACGTAATTTCGGATACTGATCTCTGAATAAATTATGAATTTTAATCCAATGAAAATAACGCTTTTTTTTGTTTTTTTTTAGCGGATGCACTAGGATTTCGTCTTCCGTTATCATGGAAAAAGGTTTCGTCTAACAACTATACCCAGAACCTTCCGTCTTGGATCTTCTTTGAAAATTTAAATTTTAAAAATTTAAATAAGTGAAAACGAAATAGCAATATTCATTATAGTTTGATTAAATGTAAAGGATGATGTATTAATGCATTCGAATCAAGGTATCGATTACTTGTTTTAAAAGCTTCTAGCATTAAAATGTGTTACAAGCCATAAGGTTTTATCGGCTAAGCGGCTGGCTAATGGCTAAGGTCAAATTTTTTTCTTTCGGAAATTATCAGAGATTTTTTTATCATCCTTGTTCATCTTTTATGTTCATTTATTATTTTTTTTCAGAATTTTCGGATCCTTGTGTCTTCTATTACTTAATTTTGCCTGACATTATCACTTCGACCTCGAAGTTATGTGATATTAAGCTGCATAAGCTAGCCGATATTTTTGTAGCGGCTGCCTTAGCCATAGCTGTCCCAGCCGGCTTGTAACACTAGTTTGGATCGTGTAGAGAATTCATTGCTTATTATGTTTGATATGTAGAAAAAAAAATACAAAAGTAATGCTTGAGAGACCTATATCAATGGTCAGTGTAGTTCACTAGAACGTTCCAGTGGGAATTACTGAAACTGGAAGATCATTGGGCTTAACTGGAACGTTCTAGTGGGAATTACTGGAACTGGAAGATCACTGGACTAAATTGGATGGAATTGGACCGTTTCGGTGAAGATTTTTATCACTGGAATGAAAGTTTCAGTGACGTCCAGTGGCTTCCGATTGGCCTATTCGAATCAAACACGGGGATAGTGAGCAGAGATTAAAACGGTATAAATTTAAGCTACCCATTTATACGAATCACAAACAGGGTAACCAGAGTAACTTGGGTAATCCGGCATAGATCGTGCGATAATGTTAGATTTTGTTAACGAATTAAAGAATTATTGAGAAATCGGAATCCTTTTTTTTACAACGTTTTTAGTATATAAAAAAAATATTGATTGTATTATCGTAATGAGATACACGAATAAAGAAGAATCATTATTTTAGAATCTTGAGGCAGTATCAAAAGATGAGTTAGAGTAAACTGCATCGAATAGCTTTGGAAGCTCGAAAACAAAATTAGTCGCCAACTAACTAATTTGATTGGCCAATAATCACATTTAGGTTAGCCAATCAGATGAATACGTTCCAGTGAGAAAATCGTTCCAGTGGGATTTCTCACTGGAACCACCGGAACACTGGAAGAATCTGGACGTCCAGTGGGGTTCCAGTCTTTCAGTGACAACACTGTCAATGGTAAATTTTTGAAGAAAAAAAGATGGGTTGTATCTCGCTGATTTGTTCATCGAAATGATAATTTCACTTGGTTGACTTATTTATTTTCCAACTAATTAAAAATTTACCTTCGATCCATTGAGAGACGTTTGAGAACACCCTTAAGTGATTTTGAAAAATAAAATTTCATTTCATTAACCGTTTATTATACCCAGTGTTGGCCGATGATCTTAAATGACCTATATGACCCGTCATAGGTCATTTGGTCATAACGAAGGTTTATATAATTTTATGACCTTTTAATATAATAAGAGTAAAAAATTTTTTATTAATGTTTGATATGACTGATATGACTTATGACCAAAAAGTCATATGATTATATGACCAAGGTCATAAAAAAAACGTTGACTTAGGTCATCGGTCAACACTGATTGTAAAGTACCCGGTGCAAAACACGAGACCTCTATTAATTAAATATAGGTTTTTAGACTGCTTATTGTAAGTGCAGAATATGTATATGCTTGAAAGTTTTTTTTCTTGCGACACTGAACCGCTGCTGTATAATATACCCGGGTCCTTTGTAAGTTTTTTTTGCTGGGTATTTCGTATTAAACCCCGGGTCTTTTGGTCAGTGCACTATGTTAATACGTAAAACTTTATCTGTTTTGATTCTATATAAACAGCCAATAAAGTTTCAAGGATCCATGTTAATAAAATTCTACATACCGATTTTCGTGTAACGTACACGCACTTTAAAAAGAGGGAAAATCATTACAAGAATTAGCATTTATTTATCTGTTTCCGAAATTTTAACTTTGTTTTTTTTACTTATGGCTTGGAAAAATGATATTCGCATTGTTGTCTCAATTGGTAATGAACCTATATATATTTTATAATTTGACGCGAAATAAAAGTCTTTAATCTATCCTTTTTTAAAAAAAACAAAAAAAAAACATATTGACTTACGTACTGTATATACGTCGAATTAAGATTTTGGGACAACATATACGGTGTGTTTAATAGCATTTATTATCACACATTTTTACGTGTTTATTTTGCGAGATCAATCTTTTAAATTTACAATAATTCATGATTTGTTAAAATAATAGGGATTCGCATACGCGCATAGACAAAATCCGGAACTGATTACTAATGATACATGGCCTGGTGTTATAGGATCGATAAAAACAAATTCAGTAGTCCAATATGATACTAATTTTAAAAAAGTAAAAGCATGGGGGTTACCTGCATTGGCACCACGCCCTGGAAAACGTCAAGCATACTTCGATTATAGGCCTGTGGAACGTTTCAAACTGTTTTTAGGAAACCTTCCAGATTCAGAAAAGCCTAAATTACCCGAAAATTTAGACTACAAAAAAGTTATTGCTGATTATCTAAAGGAGATTGGTTGATAAAATTTTTTTTTCTTGTAGTGTTTAATATCCATTTTTAATTACTGATAAGTTAATTCTCCTTAACTCATACCATTACTTTAAATAGGAAAGGTAACGCGTTAAACTTTGGCATTGTTCGTTAATTTTACGTGTTTACAATATACAATAGATACAATAAATTTCATTTTATAGTTAATAAAAGATACCATCAATACTCGATGGCCGAATGTTGATTTCTTTGAAAATGTTTTAATTGTTTTCACCATTCCTGCCGAATACCCTGAACAATCCAAAATGATATTGAGGGAGTGCATTTATAATGCTAAATTGAGTAAATGAAACTATAATTATGTGAATTTCTATTATTGTTAATATTAAATGCAAGACATTTACTAACCCTTTGATATATTTAAAGTTAACCATCCGACCTCGGAAAAATTACAATTCTCTACTGAACGTACGTAAAGTTTTAAACTATCCCTTTCAATTGATATTTCGATTTATTTAATTGTAATTTCAAATCAACTTTAGCCGAAGCAGCAGCTATATATTGCTTGAGTGTATTGAATGAATATTTCCTTATAGAAGATGGAACTTCTTTTCTAGTCGTCGATTGTGGTGGTGGTACAGTAGATCTTACAACAAGAAAGTTATTACCAGACAAACGATTAGGCGAAATTACTGAACGTACCGGTGATTTTTGTGGCAGTACATTTATTGATAATGAATTTATCAAATTTATGAAATTTAAAGTCGGTGAATCTGCAATGGACTTATTGGAGAAGCAGCGATATAGTCAATTACAATACATGGTTCAAGAATTTTGTCGACGTGTCAAAATTCCATTTACTGGTGATGAGAAAGATTTCAAAGTTATCGAATTTGATATAGAAGATGTATGTCCAGCGTTGAAGCAATACATAACTGGTAGAGAAAAAGAAATTTTAGAAAATGATGATTGGATAATTGAATTAACGTTTGAAAATGTTAAGGCGATGTTTGATCCTGTCATCAAAAAGATTATTCAATTAATCTCAGGACAACTTAGAGCTGGAGGTGCATGTACTGCAATGTTCCTGGTTGGTGGATTTAGTGAATCAAAATATCTTCAATCAATGATCAAAAATACATTCAGTTTCATTAAAAACATCTCAGTACCTAAACAACCTCAAGTAAGAATTTATGATTAAATTGATTGATTTTTGTTTTTATTTATTTTCTTTAAGATATTATTAACATATATCTTATAGGCTGCTATAGTACGTGGTGCTTTACAATATGGGCTCAGAATGGATGTAATAAAAACTCGGGTTCTAAAATATACTTATGGCATAGAAATAGAAAGTTTATTCAATGAAGCAATAGACCCTGAGTATTTAAGGGTCGATGGTCATTATATCTATAAATTTTATCGATTAGCAGAAAGAGGTCGACAAGTTGGTGTTGATGAATCATTTAGTAATATATTTCGGCCATTAGAACATACCACAAAATTACGATTTTCCTTATATATTTCAACCAATTTAAACGAAACTTATTGTGGAGGGTTGGAAAAGTTGGGTGAACTTACAATCGATATGCCAGATACACATTTAGGAAAAGAAAGACCGGTAGAATTTAGATTAATGTTTGGACGGATGGAGATTACTGCCACCGCTAGAAACCAAGTAACTGGTCAAGAACATAATGCTAGTTTTAAATTAGAGTTGTAAAATTTTGTTTATATTAATTTACTTTATCGAATATATAACAATAAAATTTATCGAAGTTTTGGAAATTTTATAATCTTATTTTGATTTGATTATTTTCTCGAAAAGAGATTGTACCCGATATAAAATTTAAGCATCGTGTAATCCAGTTGACCTGGTTCTACTTTTCAATACGATATTATGCTATTACAGTATTAATTATCGCTATTTTCGAAATAGTTTAACATGGCAAATAAATTTTTTTTGCCGTACACTCGTGCACTCATACAGTACTGTAAAACGCTCTTTAAAGTACCCGGGGTATTTTACATTCTACACGTGATCTAGGGTACAATACTGTACAACCCCTGGCGCTAGGGTGGGGGGCACAGGGCTCATGGGCATGCCTAAAAATTTTATCGTGCCCCTATGTGGTATATTTGATTGATCGAAAGTTTTGATTGGCTAATATCAAAAATCAGCATCACGTATCTTGTAAAACCCGATTAACATAAGGTAGGGTATTATGTTAAGAGTTGCTTATATAAAAATTTTTAGGAATAGCGTATTTATTTACAAAATTTATTGAAATAGATTACTCAGCGAATTAACTATCTGCCAATAAATAAAAAAAATCGACTTTAAAAAAAAAACCATGGAAATATGGGCTTTTAAAATCTATTCAAAAAATGTTATGCTTTTTACATTTGGGGATATTATGGCGCACTATGTTCACTATGTGTTTCTTATTGTATTATTATATTCTTTCCCAGATATTACCCAAATGAAGAAATATATTATAAAAATTAAAAGAAACTTAATACTATTATAAGTAATGTCAACTTTTAC